TGTTTTGCTCTAAATACATCGTCTTTCTGTATCTTCCTTTGGGATTTCTCCTGCCTCTCCTTCTTCCCCTCTTTTAAATTTTGGCAGATGAGGCTTCCAGAAAACTTATGCATCATTTTTTTTTAGCTTTTGCTCCACAGTTTTAACTCATGGAAATGATGGCAAAACCAACACACCATGCTTCGTTGGAAAGTTTTAAAACTATTTTTTTTTTTTTTTGAGGAGAGGCAGCTCAAATGATTATTGAATCAATATGTTATTGTTTTTTTTCTTTTTATTATGAGTATTTTCTATGATGAATTTTTAAATTATGATAGAATAAAGAAAAGGGTAATGGATGTTTTTGGTCTCGCATATGCTGACCTCCATGTTTTCAAGATGAAAAGACTGATAGGAAAAGTGAAGACCAAGAGCTTTATTTATATTTCTTTAGTCATCTAGTTTCCAAAAATGTGGTTTCGCTGGATTACCCCATTATGATTCTTCACTTCACCCAAGCTTGACAAAATGGAATCATCGTTGACACCTGTATTCTCTTCCATTACCAGTTGTCAAGTTCCATCTACCTATCCCTTCCCACTTTTCCATCAACCAGGATTTCTATGTAGGAGTAGCTTCGGGGTAGCAAAATGGTGGATGGGAAAAGAGGACCTGCCTCTTTTTATTTAGCTTGTTCGTTCTTTTTTGGTTGGCTCGGGCGACCCTGCTTCCACTCCTCCATCAAATCCTTTATTTTCTCACGCCCAGAATGCTGACTTCTGTCTTTTCCACGCTAGCCTTTCCTGCATACAATGAGCAGCATAGTTTTCCTGAACGAGACTTTGATCGGTTTATTCTCCTATGACTTCCTGATGCCCGCAAGGGCCAGCTACCTCAGGCAGACACCGTAGTTCAGCCTCCACGTACCTTTCAGAGATTACCTATCACGTTTCTTCACAACCGTAGCTCCAGACAGGCTCTCTTCTGAATTCCAACCTCCATGCTTTGCTCATGATGTCTTCCCCATATGTTATTCCCTGCCTTTTCTCATTTGAATCTTACCCTTATTCAAAGCTCGACTTAAATTTTACCTTCTCCGAGGACTTTGCTTAGATCGTTAGATATCTTCAAACTATATTTCATCTGATTTAAGCCATCATCAGATAAAAAGACACACCACTGTTTCATTCACCACTAAGATAGAAAAACAGCTGTCAATTAAGCCAGGATGCCTCGTTTTCTTCAAATTTTATTCTAATCGAGAAGCTATTTTAGACCTACTTAAACAGAGATTAAAATTGCACATCCGTACAAATATTAAGTGCAATGAGTAGATTAAGAAATTTCTAAAACTTCTTCACATTCAGGGTCTGATTCTTCTGGAATTTTCTTTCTGTCCACTGTCACCCATTCTGTAAGTTGTGATGTTGGCATTTTCCTGGTCTTCCCAGAAGGTGTCAGTGGCAGATTTTCAGAAAATAACCAGGACACATATTCCTTCTTCAGATGGATCTTCCGTGGCTTGTTGACATATCAAGGTGCTGCAGTGGCCCTGTCATGCCATCCGCAGTGACAACCGAGTCTGCACAAACCCTGGCAGTGACAATTATGTCATGATTATTGCTGACCAACAGCGGTTACAAGAGCACCTGCACTATCAGATGCACCCAATCTCATGATGATAAAAAGCCAAAAAAAGCGTGCCACTGAGAATGAATGAAATGTGGTATTTTCTCATCCCGCTGACCTCCCTGGCCGTCTTTGTATGCTGCCCCTGCATCTCTGTTTTCAAGGCCATTAAACTGATGATCTCTGGGCTTGACTCAGCTGGGCTTCAGAAAGACATCTTGGAGATGGAAATCTGTGGAAGACCTGAGGATGGTAACTGATAAGACCTGGATCCACTCTTTCTCTTGGGACATACGCAGAAATCTAGAGCAACGGGTCCAAACAGCTCTAGACTAGAATTTGTGGGCTAGGTTAAATTCCTTGGGAATTTGTCCCCTACGTGGATATTGTCACTAACTGTAGTCAGAACTTTCTTGCAACTAAAAAAATGCAGATGTATTTGTCATTTATTAAGTGCCTGTGAGGATCCAGGAGTTCTACATAGATTTAAGTCATCACAAGTCTGTTAGGCAGGTGGGTTTGTTTCTAACTTAGGAAACTGAAGCTCCGACCTCACGCCACTAGAGGAGGACAGAGCTGGGGTTTTTATCCAGGTCTGTCTGACCCCAACGCTTGCACTTTTCTGTGACACCGCATGGCAAAGTAGATGACTCTCTATTAATCAGGGCTGAGTTCAGGAAACTTGACACTTTGGAATGTAAGCATAAAATGGAAATAATTCAACACAGATCCAAGTGAAGCCTGCACCTTATTTTCTCTTTTATGGCACTTTCCACAATTTGTAATTATATTTTATTTATAATTATGTTGTTATTCGTTTAATATGTCCCCCCAGTGAAGGTAGGAACAATGGTTTTTCTTAGATTCTGAGATGTACATTTTTCATAATTTAATATCTGTGAATTCAGGATATATCTTAAAATTGATGTTGTATTTAAACTTAATTGGCAGCATTTAACTTTTTGGGTGCTACACAAAATAATTGTGTATCTTGTAATTTTTAAATGTTTGATTAAGTGTGCCTTTTAATTAGCTGCACTATGCTTAGTACATAGTACAGTGCCTGGGTCCATAAAAGGCACTGGCAAACATTCGTCAAATGAATGAACGAAAGTGGAACTTTAAACTTGGCCTGAAGGTACTTGGATTTTTGGATGAAGACTCCTATCTGCGGGACGCCTGTTGTCCACTCTCGTTTTCCCGTTCCGTCCGATTTAAGGTTTGTGCATGGCCACAGCGCTCAGCGCGAAAGGGTGTGCTGTCCAACAGGTTGGGCTGGAGACTTCCCAGACTGTGTTCCTGGAGGACGGGTCTCGTCAGCTGAAGCTGGCACCTGGTGGAAACTGCCGCTCAGAAACCCCTCTTGAGGCTCCTGCTGAGCAACGTGTGATAGCTCTTCTCCAACGGCCGGAAATCAATTTTATTTCAGGCAGGCACTCAAGGGGCAGGTGGTCAGACATGGGTTCAGGCTTGAGACTTGCTGGCACTGCTTAACTACAATTCTCAGGGAGCCTCCTTCAGGTCTGGGACCCTCAGGGGGATCCCTTAAGACACCTGCTGCCTCTGCATTGCCCAAAGGGGGTTGGCATTCAGCCACAGAGGTTGGAAGACTTCGCAGTGTACTGGGAAGACTTGAGGTAGCCATGGTTACGCCCGCCAAACACAAAACGAATGCCATCAGCCCTCTGTGGAAATCTTCCCAGAAAGAAACTCTCCCCAAGAGATAACATCAACAGGCTGCTGATGGGATGAGAGTGGTACCTTCAAGACCATCAGCGAAGCACCCAAATTAAGTGCGAATGAAAGATGAGCAGGGACATCATGAATTGGCACCTCTGTCCTGAAGTCAGATGTTGACAGAAGATTCTTGGGACTGGTACTGAGAGGCTGAGCAGGGACGATGAGAAAATCCTGCGATTTGCTGGTGACCTTTCAATATCACACAGAGGAGAGTGACTTCTAGTTTAGATTTATAATTAGAACAGAAAACAGATGCTTATCAATACCCAAAGGCTGATTTAAAAAAATATCCCATAAACAAACTTTAACTTCTTTGCTTACCAAATAATATAGAAGATCCTTGAATGACGTTGTGTAAAAACATTGACGAGATGTTGCGGGAACTTGACTCTTGTTTATGTCCATGAGCCTATGGTGAAATTGATCTCGGCATATGTCGTTCTGCTTAAAGTCGCAGAACCTACTGATGGCATTTAGTGAGGACTTACTGTCTTCTGGTCTAATCGTTGTCTCTTTGTTAACCCCACATATAGAGGCCACGTCTTAGCGTTGGCTGTTGATCGGATGACTCTCCCAAGTTTAGATACCAAATTAACATCCAAATTAGCAGAAGATGTCAATACCAAATTAGCATCCTGGCTTTCAAGTCAGTCTCTTGTGAGGCTGACTAGCAGGCTATTGGCAGGATGAGTTCCCTGTTTCCTGATTCTCCTTGGATGACTTGATTGGATTCAGGTTCCTGAACCTTGAATTCTAAGGACTAAATGCTGGATTAAACAACCCAACTTTAGGCGTCCTGCCTTTTATTCATCCCGATGAGAGAAATTGTACAAAATAACTAGATCTCAAATCACCTTGGCTGTGATTTCCCATCACGACTTCACAGTGAGGATGATCAAGGTGTTTAGTCACATAGAATAAATTACCTTGGTTTATTTGTATGTGCAACTAACTGTGCGAGCATAAGTAATTTATAGACCTCATTTGCTTTTTGCATATGAAATAGGCTTCTTGTTCTTTATGGGGAAAAAATGGCTCCTTTGGGTCACAATTAGCCTATCTGACAATTAGTCACAATTAGTCACAATGCTGGCAGTTAATCATGCACAGAAAGTTGTTTAGACAAAGTAAGACTGAATTTCTCGAGCAATTTATTCAGAGCTGTGGTTTCTCTGCTTTCTGTTTTGATATGGTTTAAAGTTTCTCACTGTTCAAAGAAATTAGTCAAATATCTCTATTGACTCCCAGCTTATTGTTGGGCAGTGTATAGAATTAAACGAACATCAGAAGTTGTGTTGCAACCGAACCGTTCAAATGCTTTCATTGGTTGACAAACATGATTAAGAGGCATGTTTAAACTGTACAGCATATAAACAGTATTCCCCTAACAACCCAAGGCTTTGGAACACAGGAGAAGCTCAGGGAAGAGGCTCTAGGAGGAACACTTGAATAGTTTGGGGCACTTTTAATTTTTATTCAGTGTATCTGGTGAATGATACGTGCAAATTAGAAATGTAAATGCGAACTTTAGGTCCTCTAGAGGACTTTTCATTTGAAAGCCTGTTGGATGCGGAGTGGGTCTCCTAGGAGTTAGAAGATCATTCTGGAAGGGTCCAGAAGCAGAGCAGATCGAGGCGATGTTTAGGATCGGCAGGAGACAGCTGTGGAAGCAGAGCGTTACCCGAGTTTTAACAGTAAGTGGCTGTCGTCTGTACTTGCACATGTCTTGGATTATCGCCTACAAAAGTTCGAAGTTATATTCTGATTAATTTGTGAGAAACGTATTTGTCTGCTAATTTTTGGATGGTGCGTGAGGCTACATGTTGCTATTTTGAATTTGAAAGAAAGAAGGGTTTGCATCTTTAGGCTTTTCTGCACATTGCCTCCCATGCTATAGCTACTTACAGAAATACTCGCTGCATCTTTTGGGATGATGCTTGCCTGAGGGAAAAAACACATTCAGGGCACTTTAGTCACTTCGCATTCTCTGAGAATTGTAAGCTTTTGTTGGTGATGAGAGATCATTAAGGCAGAGTCTAGGTGTGAGTTTTCTGGGGTCTGTGGATACCCCATCGCCTACATTCTATAGGCCTGGAAACGAGGTCACAGACAGGGAGATGCAAGGATGTGCCTCTGGAGTCACATTGAAGAATGAAACCCTGCCTAGCACAGGGCCCAGCTCAGCAGCTTTTTATTATGCAAATGCAGAGAGAGGGATTCAGAACTTCTTCCACTGCCAATTAACGCTGGAAGAGAATGATGGTTTCCCTGCCTCCTTGGGGCCTGATCACTGGATCTTTTACGCATCCCCGACAGTCCAGATGATTCCGTCTGGTCTCGAAGCCTGCTCACCACGAAACAGGGATACTACCTCTGCATTCTCTAAGCACTGCGCCACCAGCCACCCTCTGCTTCCCCGAGCTCCACGATTCTGACGCCTCCTTCCCAGGGTCGATGTCTGCCAGCCAGGCCCCTACACTTGTTTGCCTGCAAGTGCTACGTATTCTTTTTTAAAAACAAAGTATAGTTGGTATATAATAGAATTAGTTTCAGGTGTACTGCATAGTGATTTGATATTTGTGTATCCTACGATGTGCTCACCACACTAAGTCTAGTAACCCACCATCTGTCATTGTGCAAAGTTATCACACTATTATGGACTATCGTCCCCTTCACCTTTTTCACCCTCCTGGCAATCATCAGTTTGTTCTTCGTTTCTATGAGTCCGTTTTTGTTTTGTTTCGATTTTTAATAAAACTCCACCTGTAAGTGAAATCATGCAGTATTTGTCTTTTTTCCCTCTGACTTATTTCACTTTGCATAATGCCCTCTCCATCCATGTTGTCACGAATGGCAGGATTTTATTATTTTCTTATGGATGAGTAATATTCCCTTGTATATGTGCACCACATCTTCTTTATCCGTTCTTCCGTCATTGGCACCTAGGTGGCTTTCATATCTCGGCTATTGTAAATAATGCTGCAGTGAACATAGGGGTGTATATATCTTTTCAAATTAGTGTTTTTTGGGTTTCTTCAGAGAAAGCCCCAGAAGTGGAATTGCTGGGTCGTAGGGTAGATCTATTTTTAGTTTTTTGAGGAATCTCCATATTGTTTTCCAAAGGCTGCACCAATTTGCAATCCCGCCAACAGTGCGCAAAGGTTCCGTTTTCTCCACATCCTCGCCAGCACTCGTTGATTTTTGTTGATTTTTTTTCATCATAGCCATTCTGACAGGTGTGAGGTGGTATCTCGTTGTGGTTTTGATTTGCATTTACCTGAGGATTAGTGATGTTGGGCATCTTTTTGTGTGTTTTCTTTGGAGAGCTGTCTACCTTCCTGTCCTCTACTCGGGTTTCGATGGGATTGTTTATTTTTCTTGTCCTCTGAGAAGCCTCTCTGACACTCTGAGGAGGCGAGAGCCCCCTGCTTTGTGCGTCCTCAGCCCTCGTCATGTCATGTAGTGAAATGGCGTTGGTCTCCGTGTCTCTTTCCCGCATTAGTTGGGGAGTTCCTGGAGGATACGGATGACGTCCTCTGCATTTTTAAATAGCCCCCCTTAACACAGAGCCTGATACTAATACACTTTAATTTATGTTTCTGCAGTAAATTGAATTGATTAAACTTTTCACATGTGTAAAAAATTTTCCCGTTCTTTACTACCGAGTGTAAAACATTAAAATCGATGATAAAATCTTGAGTATAGTTAATGGATTAGTTTCTTCCTTGGCACAAGCTACCTTTCGGGAAAAGTTAGGTTTTTTAGAGGTTTCATTTATATATTTAGTATGCTGGTCCTGTTCACTGCCCTGAAGTATGGTATTTAACAGACTTACTTTAGCATCGCTGAATATTATGTAAATAATGCCTGCATTTTTCTATTTAGTGCACTGATATGATAAAGTATTAAATTATAATTTGGCGACCTCAGATAATCAATGGCAAAGATTCCAAAGCTACTTCACTTAAAAACTATAAATATATCTTTAACCTTGGTCTGGAACTATTACTGTGACAATGGAAAATTATAACTAGGTTATTATAATAATTGACTTTATCTAGAATATACATGCAGGAAACAACCAAATGTACCATCAGCAGGGGAAGGAGCTGTGTGTTTAGAAAAATCAAGCCCTATACCCTTTTTGTTGTATCACACACACAAATGTTTTTCAATGAAAAAACTTGAAATAATTCTGTATATATTCGCCGACTTAATTTGCAAAAATATGGTCCAGATATGATGTCTGCCTTCTTTCTGCTTTTCTCCTAGATGAAGAATGTGTAATACCAACTTATAAGTGTACAATGGACATGAATTTCAGACTTACGGATTCTGTTTTTCTTTCCTTCCCTAAAATTAAACTGTAATATATAATTTTGCTTGTTGACTTTGTTGACTCTTAGGGAAAAAAGCTTGAAAGGTTTATGACAATTGTCTTGATTTAAATAAACCTCATCGCAAGCTGGTTTTAAAATGGAAGCTGGCTGGCTCCCTGATGCACGGATGTGTGTGTTCACGTTTTGCATTGTGTGTTTATGCTACAGAAGACTGTTTTCTATTGGACTTCGGATTGCTAGGTTTCGCTAAACAGTGATTGTCGTCGGGGTAGAGACGGTGGAGGGGAGAGAGGGCAGCTCCTTCCCCTGCTGATGAACCCTGCAGGGGGGCGGCCATGGTTCCCTGGGCGCGCTCAGGGCCAAGACAGAAAAGAACTTTCGCTCTCAGGTGTCTTTGCGAAAGGCTGTCTGTTCTGCTATGCTCTGGCAACACTGCCAAACCGGTTTATCCTCTGTTCGTCAGGCCCAGACGTGTTTGGCCCCGTGAACGCATTTCATACACGCAAGGTCAAAGCAGTATCCTGGGAGCGTCGGGAGGTGAATGGCTCTGGGATGTAGCTGGGGAGTGGGAGTCGGCATGTACTGTTTGCCATGGGAGTAGACACGTACCCTTGAGCCTGAACGAGTTAATGTTCAATATGCCCACATGGTAACCATGCCTTTGCCAGACTCTGGGAGAATGTGACTCCGAGTGCAAAATTTATCCATTCCACAAATATCCGTCGAATGGCCATTTGGTGCCACTCTGCTCCGTGACACCGTGGGGAAGAGCACTTCCAGGCCCTGTGGAGTCTGGAGCTGAAAGTTGTTCTTTCTATCACATTTTACACGACTGTGGTAACAAGGAAAAAAAAAAACCAGAGGTCTGGAGTTGGAGAGACCCAAAATTTATGCCCTTGGACTTCCTCTGTTAAGTTCCTGCCTCGTGTGAGAGCCACGGGTAGGGCACGTCCGTCGCGGGGAGGGCACACGCTGGTTTCCTCGGGAGCCGCGTTCTCAGGCTGGGCTGCATGTCGCGATCGCCAGGGGGAGCTTCTGAGAAATAGCGGTGCTGGGGCCTCGCTCTGCACGAACAAGTCAGAATCTGCCGAGGGCGGAGCCCAGGCATCCGCGTTTTAAAGCACCCAGGGGACTCCAGTGAGCAGCCAGCTTTCAGCACTCAGGTTTATTCTGGTGAATAAGGGAAGTTGGGGAATTTCATCCATGTGCCGTATATAATATGAATGGCGATATATATACTTTTTAGCATATGGGCGAAAGCCACTTGAATTATGTGGCCGCTGCTGCCGGAGGGGGCCCTTGGAATTCTACAAGACT